ACTTGTTATTTAGAAGTAGTTCTCATATGCTACTTGCTAACAAGTTCAGAGTTTATTACTTACCAAAAAGAATATCAGCAATATGCTCAGATCTACTTGTCTTATTATTTTTAGTGAAAAATATACTCTCTTTTAAGAAAAGTACAAGGTCTATACTCTTTACTATCACCTACTTGTATTTACAACAAAATTTTCGAAAAAAGTGGGCAAAACAGCTTACCCTGTCAAAAGATCAGCATTGTTTACTTCTTTCATATTCGGTCAACCTAGTAGATTGTAATCATGTGTTTTGTTTAATAACAAACACGTAGCTACTCCACATGACAAAGTCTGCCGACTAGTCCATGGTTAAAAGTATACCCGGAATTGGTTATATAGTCAGAAAAAAACTAATACATTAAGGCAAAGTTTTATAGCAGAGATATACAAATGTTGTATTTGTTATATAATTTTTAAAGCCTTGTACAGATTACAATAGTACTATTAGATCTTTTTTTTTCTTTTGTTGTTTTTTCTTTTTCAAAATCTGTGTCTTATTTTTTCTTTTATTTTGTTCATTTTCTTTTTTAGTTGTTTTCGTTAAAAATTTTTTTTTATTTCCCCTTTTTTGTCTCATGCCTCTTGAAAAGAAGGAAAAATTAGGAGGGAAATTAGTCCTAATATTTTAGTTCTTTAAGAGCTAACATTGGATTCAAAAGAGTGAAAACTCCTTTTGAACAAAGTTCATAAAAAGAACTTTTTTTAGCTTATCTGTAAGCTTTTGCAATAAGTTGTGCTCGTGTACTGAAATAGGCAACTAAGTGAAGTTGGGCTTTAGACTAGTCTTAAAAGTAAATGTATGTAATTTGTATATACTAATAACTAAAGAGGTCAAGCCACAGCAAGACTTATCAAGGAAATAAAAAAAAAAAAAAAAACATATAAAAAAACACAATATGTATATATAAAAGCACTACTTGAATTTTTTCAAAAAAAATTTTTGCAATCAAAATTATATAAAAAATAATCTATATATTTTTTATTTTAAAGATTTTAATCATATAAAAATAACAAAAATTTGCTACTTTAAAAAATTTAGTATTATTAAGTTAATTTGTGTTTTACACTTTTATTTTATATAATAAATTGTATCTAATTAGAACCTAATATATAATATTTATTAGATATTGATATTTCAATACCAAGAGATAAGATATAAAATTCCTTCAAATTACAAATAAACCATTTTAAATAGAAAATAAAAATATATTACAAAAACGATTATTAAAAAAAATTTTTAAAAAAATTATAATTATTAGAATGTTAGGAAACAATCGTTACCATGCCTCACGAAATATCTTTTTTGATGCGCTCTTATGTGAAATCATTATTTACGAAGAACTTAAATGTTATCAAGCAATCCTTTTAATTCTTCTATTAACTCTTTTTTTCCTATCATTATTTTCATGTCTTCTAACCATACTTGTATTCGAAGATGAATCCCTTAATAATCTTGTTTGATCATTGACATTATCATTAACAAACATAACAGTAACAATCCAACCGGCCACAACAGTAATTTCCATAAAACTCCTAGAGAAAATATTCCATAAAAGATCAATAATAAAAAATAGCACCATCAAAGGTACGGTAACATAAATCCACTCCAAAAATCCAGTGTCACCATTTTCTGTCGGTCTTTTTAATTTAAGCTCGGGTTTAGATAATGATTTTTGTTGATCTAAGCCAATCTCCGATAAATGGCCAGTGTTTTTTAACCAATCAATATTAGATTTAATTAGAGATTCATTATTTAAACTTGGACATGTCGATAATATGCCAGTCAGTGATTTTGTGTTTGTCAGATCTAGTAAGGCATGATTTTTCTGATCGTTATCAGGATTGAAGGCCATTCTATTAAAATGTCCAGTTAATAATGAACAAATATTTTCATCGTAAGAATTTTCTTCAACATCAATCCATAATTTCTCCAACCACTTCGGCAATTCTTGCCTAGAGAATTTCATTCCAGATTCTTCGAGCTTGTTCAAATATTGTTCCCATGTTATTGTTGGATTTGGATTACTTATATGAAATACTTGTATTCTGAATGTTGTATTGGATGATACCAAATCTACAATTGCTTTTGCAGCAACATCTACAGGAATCCAATCTAGATTTGCATCAAACGTCGGCATTCGACCAGATAAACCAGCAATTCCTAAAAGCATTGGAACCCATTCATTCGGATCCCATACACCGGTTTCTGTGTGGGAAGTAATCTGACCTACTCTGGTGATACTAACCTGTTCCAATTGTAAGTAATCAAATGTATTTGTGATGATTGTTTCGATAGCTAATTTCGAAAGTCCAAACCCATCACAAGTAGTGATGGAAGCTTTTAAAGGTAATATGCCTTCAGGCACATTTTCCCAAGAACTATTAGCACAAGCATCAATACTTGATATGAAATAAAATTCTTTTTGAGCACTAAAAAGTAATAAATTCGCCGTTCCAAGAATAGTCAAATTTTCATAAGCGGTTAAAGGCATGCCAGGTTTTGCGCAGGAAGCGCCATGTATTATTGTAGTGATATCATTTAACATAATCTCATATTGATTCTCGGATAAGCCCAGATAAGGTTCAGATAAATTAGCACCGAGTGCGATCAATCTACCAGAGTCAATCAAAGAGGTGTCCAAATTGTTACGTAAGAATGAACGTTTAAGAGATGCTTTAGGCGTTCGGATCTTTTTTTTTCTGACTAGGCAATAAATTTTGCATGATGTTAGAGTCAACAACGTATATAAAATATGCGTACCAAGAAAACCAGTTGCAGTCAAAAGAAAAACTTTTTCGATCTTTTGTGATGCAACTATTGCAGATTGAGTATAACTATCTCGAATGTAAAGAGTATATTTATCTACAATGTCTTCCAAAGAATGTTGTAACTGTTCTATTCGAATTTCTTTATCATTTTCGTCAGAATGTCCATTTTCATCGACTATGTCCATGATAAACTTTACGATCGAATTTATACTTGGATGATCGGAAATAAATGATGTTGTTATTTCAACACCAGCTGGAAGAATGTCATCGATCTTTTTCATGAATATTAGGCTTTCTGACTCATTCATTCCAGCTTCAAACAACGATAAAGAATGATCTTCCAAATTCTTTAATGGAACACCCATAATCATTGCAGCAGTGTATTGCAAATAGTTTTGAATGTCCACCCCATTCAATATTGATTTGATGTTACTTTTATGTTCATATTTATTAGGTGTCTTCGAGCTATCGTCTTCAACCAATGCTTCGGTAGTGATCTCAGTGATATCCGCGCTAGTAGTATCGTGTTCTGCTAAGGCATTCGTAGGACTTGATAATTGCTCTTGGGCTGTCTCGTTCAGTTGTCGGATAGGTATTTCCACTATTTCATTTGATAGAATCGTATTTTGAGGTTGGGTTTGAATTTGTTGATCAGGTACACCCCCATCCATTCCTATTTACTTTGTAAAAAAATTTAAATATTTTTAGGCTGTAAATCCTAATTATCATATAATTACCTTTCTTCATGAACGAGAGTTTTATAAAAGACCGTGAATAGTAATGAATCTGTGTGAATATGTGATGACTTTTACGATCGACTAAGAAAGGCGTTAAGAATTTAATTACTAGTGTTTTATAAAGAATAGAAATATGAACTGGATGGGAAAGTATACGTGTTTTACAGGTACCTAACGTGATCCTACTCGTGAATTCAGGCTTTACAGTATCGTATATGTTATTATTTATACTTACTTGATTACGTCAAAACTGGTTGTTTGGGTATCTTCGATCAATAATAAATAAATACCGGAATTAGCAAGTTATGTCCATGTGGACTCGTGTGTATCACTTATAAAAAAGTAATATAATTCAAACCCTAATTTTAGAGCATATCGTCGGATCTGCGTGGTCTTATTCGAAACCTGACCATAGCATATATTGGGCAGAATTAGCATAATAATAATTACATTCGGATTTGGATCCGGTTTAAAGGAAATCCGGATACCGAATTAATAAGTACCAATGTCGGACAACATTAAGTCGAATAATCATTGGATACGTAAAATTTTTAATTGTTTATATATATATATATATATATAATTTATAAGAATATTGCATATAATTGTATATAATAAAGAAATACGTATTAATAAACGAATATAAATATAAGATTTATTTAACATTTTAGATTTATAATTAATCGCGATCCGCGAGAGAACCAGAGAAATTTACTAATAGATTTCGGGGAAATATTTGCAGATTATTTATAAAAAAGTAAAAATTAGCAAACTTTGTTTCATATTAACAAGTAATGTGCGAGTGAGTTTTTATCAGGATTAAGTATTTTTATTTTGTCGTGTTAAGCATGAAGATAATTAATACTCTAAGTGTTCCAGGGATGGTAAATGACTTGAAATGACGTTGTGATTCAAGTGAATAATGACCAATGACTGGTTATTTAAAAGAGCAAAATGACCTATTGAGCCATTTGAAAAATATACCATATATATTCCTAAAGAAATTTGAATACAAAAAATGAAGAGTAGCTTATTTTCGGGTTTAAAGTTTCAAAAAATTTTGCCAGATAATAAGAGTAGCTTATTATATATTGAATACTTATTTTTTTTGAAAAAAAAAATTTCCACGTATACCTAATTAATAAACAAACTCAACCATGGTTTGGAATAGGTTCAGGTATGTATGAATAGTACGTACATCTGCACATATATATCAGGTATGTACAGTACTAGAGCTCTGGAAGTGCTGGCACACGTACTATTAAGCCATGCCTGGCTTGCCCTAGTACTTATATATATGTGTGTGTATGTGTGAGTTTAACCACCAAACCTACTGGAGCCTTCTATATCCTATTCTGGCCGACCCAGTATTGCAGTTGCCAAGACTCCCACTTGCAGTTGGGTTTTTAAACCCATTTAACTGCTATGCCCTTGTAGAGCTCACTTAAAACCCCAGTACTTATATACTTCACTTTTTTTAATTTATAGACTTCTATTCTTAGCTTTTAGAGCATTTTAATTTAATAGGCCAGAAGGTTAAATTTGCCAAATCTTTAGTTTATAGTTATCTCAACCCTGGTATATATTTTTATAGTATATATTATTTTTCTCTAGCTTGTGTTTTGGCTATATATGCTATGAAAATAGGATTTCAAAAATAGCCTATTTTATTTTTATTAGAACAAATCAAAATTTTTTATAAGAAAGAGCAAATTTAATTTATATATTTATACTATATTTTTTATAATTTTGTCTATTTAAAAAAAGTATCAAAAAATTTTATCTTTTAAGTAAAGCTAAATCAAAATAATTTTATCTTTAAATTTTAATTTTAGTTTTTAGAATCCAAAATAATTTTATTCTCATCTATAGCTTTGAGAGCCTTAGTTAGTTTTTCTTATAAGAGTATATTATACTCTTTTCTCTTTTAAAGTATTTTGTATTTTTATTTTTAAAAGTTTTTTGTACTCTTATTTTTGGTTCAAGTATTCATCTTTAGTTTTAGCATTTTTATAATACTGTTAAAGGTTTGTATTACTTTTTTACTCAGATCTTCTTAAGTTAGTTCTTAATTTTCTAGTTCTCTTTTAGTTTTTTATAGTTTCAAAAGATTTATTATAAGTTTGTATTACCTATTCTAGTTTGCATTTCTTCATATAATTCTAGTATTATATGAATATTTCTAGAACTTTCTAGTATACAAATATACTAGTTTGACTAGAGTTACAGGTTCTAGAATCTAACTAACCAATAAAAATTAGTTACTATAATACAAAGTAATTATTTAAAATATTGTTGGTAAGATTTGAACTCTATATTTTTAGTTATAAGAAGCTTAGAAGATAATAACCAACCAACTATACTAGGTTGCTATACTTAATATTTTTTATAATTTTATTAATAAAATTATAAAAAATAATATAATTTTCAATATTTTCTTTTTTTTTTTTAGTATTAAGGTGATCTCTTTAGTTATAAAGAACTCTTTATTAGTAATCATTTGCTATTATAGTTATAATAAAGATATAACTAGCTATATATACACTTTTTAAATAACTATTTAAATAATCTGTTTATAGATTCTATACTATATAAGATGTGGTAACTTAGTGAAGTGGTGGAGTTGTTGTATCCTAGATGGCAGGTTTAGAGTTCAAATTCCACGGATGATGATTTTTGATTACATCATCTCGAATGGGAGCTTCAGCATAATAAATTCAGAAAATCAAAATTACTAAAAACCTATTTGGCAAGTCCTGAGTGTAGATTAGCAGTGATTTTTGATAGTGCTACAGGAAGGCCAAATTTGGAACTGAGAACTGAGTCTGGAGAACTGAACGACCAGATCCTTAAATAGGGGGATATACTAGCTGAACTGCTAGACTGCCAACCGGAAAAAAGAACTTGTGCTCCAAAAACATGTATCAAAGGGAGGGCGACCATGAGGCACCTAAAGCCTAGATAGACCAACCCTTCCAGGTTGCTAGCTAGAAGTAAGGGAGGGACCGGTAAGGAATTCAGGGAAAAAAGAAATTGGAATCTGGGTACCGAGGTTGTTGTGAACCTCACAAGGGCAAGGAGTACGTAACGGGATTCTAATTAGAAAGGTTGTAGCTTGAGATACAGATTGGGTTATAGCAGTATCTAAAAAGATAGCTTGAGATACGAACTTGATAGCAGTAGCACAACAGGTACTAGTTAGGTAAAAGTTACCAAAACATACAAGTGAATATATATATAGGTAAGACATGTACCATTCTGTTAGGTTTACTACAAGGATAAATGCCCCAATATGGTTTGGCTAAAGTCTTAGGGTCATCCACGGCAATTGCTAATCTCACATGAGTATTAGAGTAGAGTGTGTTACAAAAGTAGTAGCCAGAGAATTTAAATAGATAACTTCCTAGTTGGGTTATAGGTATGGTAGCTAGTATAGAACCTAGAGCAGACTACTTAAATAGGCAACCAAAAGTTGCATGTATAGCTAGTCGTACTCTCATTAGAAATAACCAAAGAGCTTAAATAG